ACTATAGAAAAAACCACTCAAAAAAAAAAAAAAAAAAAAAAGAAGAAGAAGTATATTGAAAAGACTATTACAGAAAGACTTAGTAATAAAAAAAATGTTGAATTAGTGTGCACCTAGATAGGTCAATGAAACAGAATAGAAAATCTAGAAGCACATCCATACATACTCAAGAATTAGAAAAGTTTCAAATGATATTTCACTTATGAAATGATGTACAATATTTGTATCATGAGAAATACAAGTTAAATTACAATGAAATACTTATTTAAAATCCACAAATTGGTAAAAACAAATCCAGAAGTTTCATAACACACTCAAAATTGCTGGTGATTATAAAAATTGGTTCAACTCCTTTGAAGCCAGTGTGGTAACACTGAATACAGTTACAAATGTATATTTCTTTTTTTTTTTAATTTTTTTTCTTTTTTTGGAGAGGTTTTTGCTATAGGGCACGTGTGCTCGCCAGACAGACAGAGAGAAACATAGAGACAGAAAGCGAGAAATCACCCCCCGGGGGGATGGTCACGCTGAAATCCCTCCTCCTCTATTCTCCTCTCGGGATCTTGGGCATGCCCGCACACGCGCCTGGCGTGAGTTTAAGCCACCGGGTCCGAGACTCGAACCGCGGTCGACTACGTGGGAGTCCAGCAACATAGCCATTACACTAACTGCTGGGCCCCCCCCTTTTTTAAGAGAGGTTTTTGCTATAGAGACCATGCACTCACCAGAGAGACAGAGAGACAGACAGCAAGCAATCATCCCCTGGGGGGATGGCCGCACCACAGTCTCTTCTCTTCCATTTTCTTCTTGGGATTTTGGGCAAGCACCTACATATGCCTGGCATGAGTTTCAAGCCTCCAGTCTGGGAGTTGAACCTCAGTCAGCCTTGTGGGAGTTCGGTGATATTACCATTATGCATCTGGTTCCACAAATGTATATTCCCTTTGCCTCAGCAATTCCTTTTCAGGGTGTTACCTAATAGAAATGCACACAAACAAAAACATGCATGTGTCTAAAGGTTATTCACTGCAGTGTTGTCTTTCATTGTCAGCCACTGGGGATTGGTTATTAAGACGATGCCCTATACTGGACTGGGTACAAAGCAACAGTAAAAAAATAATGAGGAAAGTCAGTACACATTGATAGAAATTATCTGTAAAATATGTTTTCTTTTTAAAATAATTATTCATTAAATTAAATTAATTAATTAGTTTTTTATTTGACCAGAGGGAGACACACACACACATAGGAGAGAGCGAGAAAGCAAGCCACCAGGTCCAGGATTCGAACTGCAGTTGGCCATGTGGGAGTGTCCAGCGCCTTAACCACCATGCCACCTACTGGCCCTGATCTGTAAGATATTTGTGTTTATGATGTGTGAAAGAAATCAAGGCACATACCAATGTGTACAATTTGTTATTTGTGTGGTGTGTAAAAAAATAGAAGAAATTTCTGAGTTTGCTAGCATGTGCATAAAGAAACTCTAGAAGGACATAAAAGAAACAATAGGCCTTGATTTTCTGTGGAGGAGATGTGGGTGAGGTGGGAAGTAGGTTCATAGGGGACTGTATACCTGCATCCTTTCATTTTTGAAGCATGCACCTGTTTGGCTATTTAGTATGCAAATAAACAAACAAGCATATGATGAGATACTACGTACTTACACAAAAGAACTAAGGACACTTTCTATGGGAAAAAATCTCCCATAGAGAAAGGAAAACCATTTGCTGATGTTAGGTGAATGGAGCAAGATGTGGATGATAATGTACAGTATGCTGCTTTATGTCAGAAAAGAAGGAACTCTAAGAATATTTTTGGTTTGTCTTGTGCGTGCACTAAGAAACCTTGGCAGGGTACTCAGGCAGGTGAATGCTGGGATGTGTTGCTAGTTCCTTCCCAGGACTCTGAGTTGCTGAAAGATTCTTTGCCCCAGTGGCTGGGAGTGCCGCTGGCAGATGGCCTTCAGTCCACACCCTTCTGGGAATAAGGGAAGGAGCCGCATCAGCTAAGGCCACCGCCAGTGAATGACCCACGTGGGAGTGTGAAGGGCTAGCTGCCCACACCCACACTGGAGAACTGTGGAGGGCCAGAAGCCCCCTCTTGAATAACTGCCTGGCTGCCTCTCTCCCCTCTCTGTCGTCTTCCACTAGTGTTGACCAGAGAGCATGCCTAGCTCATCTCTCTGAGAGTTTGCTTTCTCGGGAACCCTAGCAACTGAACATGGAACCTAAGAAACTAAAATCTGTGGTTCTGTCCAGGGGTGGATTGGGAAGGAGACATTTCACTCTATGTACTAAGAGGATGCGTACATTTATTCAAATTATAAATGAAAATTTATAAAGTCATTTCATATGTCAGTAGTACCGTGTGCTTTCCCATGTATGGCTTTAGAGAATCTATATTTTTAAATTTTGGATGAGGTATTTTAACTTGAAATACTATATGCTACCACACTGTAAATATGCTTTTCTTGCCTGTTTCTTTTTGTTTAGGAGCTACAGAGAAACACCTCCTTGGATTCACCTTACAATGGAATTTAAGAAGTCCCCCGATGGTGGCTGGGGCTGGGTGATAGTGGCTGTCTCCTTCTTTACCCAGTTTTTGTGTTACGGATCCCCGTTAGCTGTCGGCGTCTTGTACATAGAATGGCTGGATGCCTTTGGTGAAGGGAAAGGAAAAACCGCCTGGGTCGGCTCCCTGGCCAGCGGAGTTGGCTTGCTTGCAAGTAAGTGAACACATTTTTGCCTCGCTTTACTCTTTAATCATTTAATTAAATTCCATGCATCACTGACACTCTGCAGGGCATATAGAGCCATTTTGAAAGTATAACATATATGTTCCTATCTTCATTGAGATTTTTAGCACTGCTCTTTCATGGTAATAGATGTGCGTGGAAAATACGGGAATTCCATGAGATACTCAGTTGTCACCCCTCCATTTCTTCAGTCATTTATTTGCTACTATGTGCCAGGCAGAGTACTCAATGCTAGGGATGAGAAGATGAATCCGAAGTCCATGGTTTTTGCCTTCGGAGGCTCCCAGTCGAGTGAGAGCCACGTCACTCCCATTCCTACTCCCCTGAGTAGGAATGAATCAGGGAGATGACAGGTGTGATCCAGGTGAGCACAAGGTACATTGGTGACCAGAGGACCAGAGGACCAGATGGTGCTCAGCAATCCCCCAAGTGGCTTCTACGTGGCTCACGCTTACTCCTCTCTGATTCAGGTACACTGTTATCACATCACGTCCTGCACTCCTGATAACGTCATAGGAAAAGTCTGACACCACAAAGTAAGATCCTGTCTCACAATGATGTTAAGGATGTTAAGATAGCATTATATGCAAGATATATTTGATACATTTGATGTGATGTATCTTCAAAAGTTTATATATATATATATATATAATTTTTTTTTAGAGAGAGATTTTTGCTATAGAGTATATGTGGTTGCTAGAGAGACAGAGACAAAGTGAGAAATCATTCCCTAGGGGAGATGGCCACACTGCAATCCCTTCTCCTCCATTCTCTTCTTGGAATTTTGGGCACACACTCTTACGCACCCTGCATGAATTTTAAGCCATTGGGTCCAAGTCTCAAACCACGGTCGACTACGTGGGAGTCCAGTGACGCAATTGTGACATCATCTGCTGGTCTCCAAAAGTTATATATCTTTAAGTTTATTTACTTATTTGTTTCCATGAGAGAGAGAGAGTGAGAGAGAGAGGGAGAGACAGACACCCTCAACAGGGGCTTTACCCCTCAATCTACCCCAGGGTCAGCCAACTTGGGTCACAGGTATTTATGTCTATGCTCAGTTTGTATAGGGACACCTTGGGACACAAACTGGGGACCTTCCCATGAGAGTCCAGTTAGGTTACTGCTGTGCCACCATCTGGCCCTCGAAATAATATTCTTGATAAACAGGGTCATGTGATGTAAATAGTGATTCCCATTATCTTAGGTAGAAGAGTAGAGGATTTTTATTTTCCTTTTTACCTTTAAAATCGTATGGCACTTCAGGGTTTGGAGTCATAGTTTGAACCCTGCAGTGATATTTAGTGATCGCCACTCTAACTTACTTAGAACTATTTAAGCACACATGTGCTAAGATGGCGCCCCGAAGAGGTCAGTAGCACTGGATCTCATCGAATCATAATCTCTCCACTTATGGGAAAAATAAAGACATTGAATGTGGGGATTTGTAAGGTGTTTGTCAGCTGTAAAATGGTTTCATGAAAATGTGCATAAAACAACATGCATTACCTATCCCTTCTTTTAAATACGTTGCCTCTCCTGGATATTAAAGCAAACTTCTAAGAAAATAAAAGCAATCATTTTCAATTGTATTATCTTGTTAAATTAAAAATAAGACAAATAAGACTTGAAAAACAATCCTGAATCATTTGGCCATGTCAGATAAGATAACTAAACATAACTACACAAAGGAAAATAGTACTGCCATTGTGAGCTTGAGAGAAACAGAAAAGTTTGCCAAAGTTTTGTTTGAGAGAGTTTTTCAAAATGGGGACTGTTTGTAAAGCTGTCAAAGCACAAGTGGATGACATCGGATATGTTAGTAAAGGGATCTGAGAGTACTAATTCTAGGAAACAACCTGTAATGGAGAGGAGGATTTTTCTTTTTCTTTTTCTTCCTTTTTTTTTTTTTTAAGAGAGATTTTTGCTGTAGAGCATGTGCTCTTGCCAGAGAGACAGAAAGCGAGAAATCACCCCCCTCAGGGCAGGGGGATGGCCATGCCACAATTCCTTCTCCTTTATTCTCCTCTCATGCACACACATACCTGGCGTGAGTTTTAAGCTGCAGGGTCTGGTACTTGAACTGCGGTCAACTACTTGGAAGTCCAGCAATGAAACCCTTACACCATCTGCTGGTCCTAGGGAGGATATTGCTTAATATTCTCTAATTAGTCACTATTACTATTAGCACAAATACTAAGTTAAACAGAAATGTAATTATCCTGGCTTCCAGCAAGGGTCAAAAAGAGTAACTGAAGTGATATCTCAATTAGTACCTACCTTGAGAACAAAGCTTCTTTCCACAAAGCCTGTCCAGGTAGGACTTGAGAGTTGGGAGAAGCTTAGATCTCCTTGAAGCTGGGGCCTATTTGGTCAGAGCTGATGCCAACTCTTTGAAGGCTGAGCTGTAGGACCTGTGCTCTAGAGAATAGCAGTTAAATGGTCTGCATGGAAAACTGGATACCACATGACTGACTGTGGTTTGGACCTCAGTCCAGGTGACTTGAAAAGCATGCTGGGTGCATATGTATGTGTGCTTAAGATCTTAATGGGATGGGACCAGCAGGTAGTGTTGTGGTCATGTCGCTGGACTCCCACGTAGTCGATCACAGTTCAAGTCCCTTAAACTCACAGTGGGTGTTTATGTGTGCATGCCCAAAATCCCAAGAGGAGAATGGAGGGAAAGCGATTGCAGCATGGCCATTCTCCTGGGAGGTGATTTCTTGCTTTTTGTCTCTCTGTCTTTCTGGCGAGTGCATGTGCCCTATAGCAAAAATCTGCCTCTTTTAAAAAAAGAAAAGCTTAGCAGGATAGAGACATGGAGAAGAGTTTGCAGCATGACCACACCTTAATAATGGGAACTGCTCTGTCTGTCTCTCTCCCTCTCTCTCTTTCTCTGATGAGAGGAGTTGATTGCAGAAAGCTGCATTTGAACTAGCTTACCAGTTGGTTCTGATAGGTAGTCTGTACAGTATCTAAGAAATGTTAGTTATTTTCTTTCCACACTTTTGTTCATTAAAAGCCTAGTTGGTGTCATCCTTGAGCAATTCCAAACTCTGGACTCTACTTTTCCCTGAAGAATGAGTACATTCTCCATGCAACATATAAATTATGCTTTTCGTGTACTTCATAGACTCGTCCCTAAGTTCTCTAAGTGCCACTGTGTGTCTGGCTCAATAGCAGCTGTATTCACTTACTTTGTCCTAGTAGATCTTCATAGCAGTGCATTGAGTGAGAATTTTTGTCCTCAAGATTTATTGACCTGTCCAAGATAAAGCATATTCTCTTATGGGAAGGATGGCACCTGAGCTCAGGTTTTTCTAACCTGTCAATACTATTTCTTCATTTTAAAACCAGAGACAGTAAAGGTACCTGCCTTTTAAAAAAATTATTTATTTGTCTATTTACCTGTTGTGACATTTAAGACGTGAGATCTAGGACTTGAACCACGGTTAACCAGGTGGGAATCTGGTGCCTTAACCACCATACCACTTGCTGGCCCCAAAGTACCTGCCTTATATGATGTGTAAGAATAATTGAGATGATGCTTGGGATATGTAAGTGCTCAGCAAATGTTAGTTTTAGAGGATGAATAACTCACAGAAAAGTTACTCTCCCAAGCAGTTCCAACCCAACTGTAGAAACTGCAAAAGAAAGGGATCCTTCAGGAGGAAAGGCAAAAGCATTTCTGGAAGAACGAGTGGAAGAGAGAGCTGTCACTTCGCCAAGATTGTGACTAAGCATCTGGAATTTAAAGACCCACTTCTTGTGTCTGACAAGAGCTCTTTTGGACAAGAGTTCATAATAGCATATTAGAACTGTGAAATTACATGCAATCCTGAAAAAAAAAAAAAAACAAGATATCCGGTTCTGAACATTACACTGTTCATAACTTTAATTCTTAATTCTTTCTCCTTGAAACTTGAATAATTGAGGAGACACTTCTCACTTGCATTACATGATTGCCCAGATAAGCCTTGGGGTGAATAAAGCTGGATATGAAGGAGCCAGTCTTCCCGGGTTATAATTGTGAATGAGCTCATCATCATTACCTACATTTATAGGATCTGTCCTGTGCTAGGCATGCCAAGGTACAAGACACCATCCATACTTATAAGGGGTTTGTAGCCTCAGGGAAGAGACAGAAAAAAGAAAAAGTAATAATTTGAGACTTCACAAATACCAAGGAGAACAGCAAGGGCAAGGCAGTTTCTGGGTTTTATAGAGATAGGTGGTTCAGATAAGCAGATGGACTGTCACAGGTGGACAGGCAGGGAGAGAGTGACCCATTGCAGAGTGCTGTGTGCAAAGGCCTGGAATTACACTATGGAAGATGTGTTCTGGTAAAGCACATTGATCTAGAGAGGAGGCATTGTGCTGAGAGGTGTGATGATGTATTTTATATGTCAACTTGGCTAGCTTGCATTCCCCAGTTATTCAAACAGGAATCTGGGTATTGCTGTGAACATATTTAGTAGAGTGAATAAAGTCCATAATCAGCTAACTTTAAGGAAGGGAGATTATCCTAGATAATCTGGGTGTACTTGATGCAATCAGTTAAAAGGTTTTAAGAGCGAGAATGAGCTTTCCCTGCAGAAAAAATTCTGCTAGTGGGTTGCAGCTTTAGCTTGTGCCCAAGGTCTCCAGCTTGCCCTTCCTGATGGGCCTCCCTATGGGTTTTGGACTTGTCTAGGTAGGTGAATACCACCTGGCCAGTGACTTAGCCAATTGCTTGCAATAAATCTCTTAGCACACGTGTCCAACTGGTTCTTTTTCTCTAGTTGAACCTGACTGCTACAGGAGTAGAAGGTAAGAACTGGAGGGCTATCATGGTCTTGCATTGTTTTAAGGCTAACAACCCCTTTGCCCAGATAAGTTCTTCAAATGTAAGGAGAGAGGTGGGGCCATTTTTCAGACAAGTTGCTGAAACAGCAGGGAGTTCTTTTGTTCTCTAGTTTTGTACTCAAAGC